CTCAGATCGCTTGCGTCGGCTGTAAACAACAGGCGGAGCTGTGATGCGTCATGCCATGTCGACCGCAAGCTGCAGATCTGTGCAGCTCGCCATGCGTGTCGGATTCTCTCGAGCGGTAACCAGGCAGCTTCTCCGCATTCGCATTGGCACTAAGCGATTGTAAGTTTGTTTTGTGCCTGTCATCCCGCCCATATACCAGTGAGCCTATGCCTTGCCTTGGGAGAGGGGACCGGCGGTCTGGGGTCTGAGGCCTGAGGCACGACTGGCAATCGACGACGGCCCTGAGCTTGCTCTCCAGCTAGCGGTTGCTGGCTTTCGATGCTATCAGCTGGGGTCTGTATGAGGCCGTCTGCTGGCAAGTCGCAGCATAAAGTTGGACGATACCCGGGTGCCTCCCATTGTCCCACTTGCTGCGTGCGCTCCATACAGGTATCCAATGTGATCCGCGCAAATATCACCAGCCTCCGCAGATCGGACGCAGCGGCTGTCAAGGCGAGGTGGGAGAAGCCGTTAGCGCGTCCATTTCATCACTCGCAGGCTGCGGGCACCCGCAGACAAGGAGAGGGGGAAGAGGGGCCGTCCGGTGAGGGAAAGGAGCGCCACCGTGCAGCCTGGCAGCTGCATGACCATGCGTGGATTGCCAGCAACGTGAATTGCTCCAAATTATTTTTCTAGCCACGACCACTGAGCTGAAGAATGGAGGATACCAGGATGATGCCTCCCCAGGCGGGTAACCAATTCGACGGGGCCAGCAGCGGCAACGGGGTGAGAAGGTCTCGACGTGAGCCCCCGTCGCCTGTCGTCGTGGAGCAGCAGCAACAGCAGCAGCAGCAGCAGCAGCAGCTTCAAGGACCGCGACAGCTGAGAGACGATGCGTCGATGAACGCCTGGGCTGCAGTGAGCGGAGATGTGGGTCTGATGCCCCCGGTCTCTGTCCGGAGCGACTGTTCCATAGGGCCAGTCCCTCATCCTCCATTCAAGTCGCCCTCAGGCCCTTCGTTTTCTATGACTCCAGCAAAGTCTGCTGCAACTACACTCGCAACGGCAGAGCTCAGGCCCGAGCCCCAGCCCGACGAGCCCACGCCCACGCCGCAAGCGCACCAGCTCCACCAGCATGGAAATGTCGGCGGAGTGACTCGCTGCGACGTTTCCTTAAGATCACTCACGCTTGATGCCTTTGCCTCCGCCTCGGGTCCACCAAGTCTCGAGCGACTCCTACCGAATGCTGGCATGAGGAGTGCAATGGAAAGAGGCAGAGACGAGCGACATCCAAAGCCACCTTTGCAGCAGCAGCAGCAGCAGCAGCAGCAGTCGCAGTCGCAGCAGCAGCAAGCGCCAACGCCGTCGTCATCGTCATCGGGCCCGTCGCAATCCAAGTCCCTGCTGCCTTCGATACATCAGGCGCTCGGGCTGCTAGAGCAGTCGCCACCCTCCGTCTTTGCGCACACCGGGTTTAAGTCCGTGCCGCAGTCGCCGCTGGCTGGGCCCAGCAACAAGAAGCCCTTCGAGCGGTTGCACGCCAAGAGCACGTCGACCGTGCTTCCACCCTTGCACGCGCAGTACTCCAGCTATCGACGCCAGGATGTCGTGGACGGCAAGCGGCACAGCGTGTCTTCGATGCTCGTCGATCGAGCAACGGGATCGGTGGCGGGAGCGGGAGGGGGAGTGGGCGCGAGCTCCGGACCCTCCATCAGTCCTTCGTGGAGGTCACCCAAGCGGCCACGGAGGTCGCTGGGCATACCGTCCACCGCCACATCAGCAGCTCCGCTGGCACCGCCGACGTTCGCAAGGCCACCGTTATTGTCGGGACAGGTGCGGCCGTTCCAGAAGTCGCAGCGAGAGCTCCACCCACGCGCATCATCATCATCGACATCGACACAAGCATGGCAGTCGGTAGCGGCGTACGACAGCCATGCGCAGCCGGACGTGAGCATGACGGACGTGTCTGTGCTGGCCACGGAGCCGTTGCCGAGCTCGGGGGCGTCCTCGCAGCAGGTGATGGAGTGGCTTGAGGCGGTGAGTCCAAGGTGTTGTCCGCTCGTGACTGGCGCTGGGGTGGTACGCTGACTTGGTGTTGCGTTGCGATCGACGCGGGGTTCTGGCGAGTAGCATGCTGAAGCGTGTAGGAACATGCAGCGGCTATGTGAGCTGTACACACAGCGCCGGCTGCCACCAAATTCGTTGTCGCCGTCGGACATTGACCGAATATTGAACCACCATCAGCAGACATCGGAGTCATTGCTGAGCTTGCGGCAGAGGGAGGGCCCCAACGCAGATGCACCTGGGAGCAGACCCCACTCGCACTTCGCGCCGCCAGCAGCACCGATATCAGCACCGCCACCGCCGCCGCCGCCGCCGTTGCCACCACTGCCACCGCCGCCACCACCACTACCACAACCTTCACAACCACCACGCTTCGCACGGCGACCGAGCGCGTTCTATGACGGCGGCGGGAGTATGTCAGGACAACAGGCCGACCCTCGGACTGGTGCATCATACACTGCGCCAGCACACGGGCACGAAGGGCAGGCACCACCGCCGTTGCCGCCAGTGCCAGCACCAGCGCGACCGGCAGGCATGCTGGCGCCGTCTGGACGGCCGTACCCGCTGCCAGACATGACGAAGCAGCGGATACTCTTGGCGCCTCGACAGAGGAGAACAGTATGTATTGCGAACCCCGTACCCGTGCAGTGCGCGACGTGTGTCGTCGTGCTTGGCTCGTCTTGCTCTCGTCTCGGTGGTGTAGTCGCAGCTAATCAATTCGGGCGCCCGCAGACAGCCACTCCTCCTGGACCATGCCACAGCTGCAGCAGGAGCGAGACTCCTGAGTGGCGTCGAGGGCCCAACGGCGCAAGGACACTGTGCAATGCTTGTGGGCTGCACTATGCCAAACTGGCACGTAAGCAGAGTGCTGATAAGCGGGCGGCTGCCAGTAACAACAACAACGCTGCTGCGAGTGGCAACGGCGCCAGCAGCAGCAACAACGATGGCACTCGCAGCGGCAGCGTCACTGCAGCAGGCACGACGCCAGCAGGCACGACGCCCTTGCAGAGCGCGCCAATGAGCCCGGCGGCACGGCCGTCTTCTGTTTCTGTCGCCGCTATAGCTGAGTCGAGATGAGTGTCAGCTGCGAGTGGAAGTAATGAGCATGACCAGACCATTCTCCTGCCTTGCACTCTCTTATCTCCTCTATCATGGTGATTGTGACCATGCTCTTCCATCACTCTCCACCATGCCAACCACCAGCACAGTCATCTGGCACCTGGCCACCAGTAACCTGACATCTTCAGCCTCTGCATGACATGCCACTGACGAGTGCTGAAGCTGCCTGCAGACTGGCCACCAGTGGGACTTGCAAGTACCTAGCCAGCTGCAGAGGGCTGCAGATCTTGATCTGGGTGATCTTGGATTGGGGCAGAGGGAGGGCCAGGGCAGATCTTGGTACTGTGCCACGCCCAACCAGGAACTGCAGTCCCGAGGAGATGAGGAGACGAAGGAGGGAAGAGAAGGCGAGGAGGAGGAGAGGGGGGCGCATGGTGGCCTAAGGCAACCAGCGACGGGTGAGAGAAGTCGCGGCCGCTGCATCAAAAAAGGAATCGAGCGACACCTGTGAGATTCGAACTCACGCGGGCGAACCCACGCGCTGGCAGAATATTCCTGAGAATAGCAGGCGCGCGCCTTAACCACTCGGCCAAAGTGTCTAATTGACGGATCTTGGTAGCCATCAGTATATGACCTCGAAATGACGGCTACCGTGACAACTACCTTGCGCTTCCATTGCCACCTCACACATAGCTACACCTTCATGCTGAGGCAGTGGCAGTCGTGCTCTGCCTGAGGAGTGCCGGCAAGTTCTCAGCCCCCAGCTAATCAGCATGTCCGCCCCCCTCATCAGACTTGCTGACATCGCCCCGCTAGCGCGAGTCTGCGCCGGCACGCGCTCGCACCCGCGCACGGTGTCCATCTGCCTTCTCACGGCGGACATCACGCGGCTGGGCGTCGACTGCATCGTCAACGCGGCGAACCAGACCCTGCTCGGCGGCGGCGGGGTGGACGGCGCGATCCACGCGCGCGCGGGGCCGGGCCTGCTTGCGGAGTGCTGCACGCTGGGCGGCTGCGCGACCGGCCAGGCCAAGATCACCCGCGCGTACGACCTGCCCTGCAAGCACGTCGTGCACACCGTCGGGCCGATCTACCAGGCCGGGGCCGGCGGAGAGCGGGCGGCCGCGTCTGCGCGCTTGCTGGCGTCGTGCTACGCGCGCTCGCTCGAGCTGGCGGACCGCAATCGCCTGCGCAGCATCGCGTTCCCTGCGATCAGCACGGGGGTGTACGGGTATCCGATCGAGGAGGCTACTCGCGTCGCGATGCGTGCGGTGGCGGAGTACTTCGCCGACGGGGAGGGTGGCGATGGTGGTAGTCGGGGAAGGGAGTCCAGCCTCACTCATGTCGTCTTCTGCACGTTCTCGGCGGAGGACGGCAGGATATACGACCGACTGATCCCGTGAGTCGCACTAGCCCCTGACTACCGCTTGCTGTACGTGTCAGGCCGTTGACGTGTTGGGATGGACAGTGAGTACTTTGACACTTCTGTTCATGAGGCGGACAGCACGTCGCACTCGCCTGAGGAGGTGGCTGAGCGGCTGCCAGAGGTGCCCGCAGCGGAGCCGGGTGCTAATCAGAAACCCGGGCGGTAGCAGTGCCGGTGAGATACTGTGAATTTCAAGCGACTCAGCGGGATGAGCCAAGGCATGTCAAAACGCGACACGTGCAACCTGCTATGGCCAATTGCAGTGCTACTCTACTCTTACACCTTCCTCGTGCTCGTACTCGTGCTCGCGCTCGTGCTCTTCGCATACCTCGCCTCCAACGCCTCCTTGCGCTTCCTCTCCTCCTCCCGCTGCAGCTGATCGGGCCTGCGCACCGCAACGTCCTTGGGCTTGAAGTCGCTGAACAGCGCCTTGAGCCCGCGCTCAATGACCCAGCAGCCCACATAATCCAGGATCATGACCGTGGTGAGAGTGACCTTGAACGCGGGGGAGAACGGGACGAGGCGCAGCTTCTCGTTGAGCTCCGGGACAAACTCCGTGGAGGCGGCGAAGGAGATGGCGGCGGCGCCGACCAAGCCCCAGTACATGCCGCGGTTCTCGCGGATGGACTCGCGGAAGGGCCGGCCCTGGTAATTGATGCTGAAGGTGGAGACCTGCTGGATGAGCTGGAGGATGTAGACGGCGCTGTTGAGCAGCGACGGCTGGAACTCGCCCTCGAGGTCGACGGTGCCGCGGGGCTCGATGGCGTAGACGTAGTTGGAGAGGTAGATGAGGGTGGCGACGTGGACGGCGAACTGGCCCAGGATGGAGCCCATGATGTACCAGTTGAAGATGCCCGGCTGGGGCCGCTCCTTGGACAGCTGCTCGACCGACTTGGCGCGCGAGATCGACAGGAAGCACACGCTCATCATCATCCCGCTGATGGTCACCTGCCCGTCGCCGAACTTGATGCCGTCCAGGTAGATGACGCTCAGGCTGTACGCGCTGATGAGGCAGTTGAGCGCGAGGATCTTGTACATCTGAATCGTGGCGACGAGCGTGCAGCGGCCCTGGCGGATGATGTTGGGGATCGCGACGACGTTGGCGAGCTTGCTGGTGAATGGCGCGGCGACCGACGCGTCGCCCAGCTTGATCGTCGGCGGCTCGCTGTCGTCGAGCTCGGCCTCCAGCATCGACGTCGAGAACTTCTCCGCCAGGTTGCTCGCGGCCGCGGCGGCCTCCTGCTGGCGCCGCTGCTGCGGCGTCATGCTCGCCTGCAGCGCGCGGGCGCGGGGCGAGACGACCGTCGGGGTGGGGGGATCCGGCTGTGCCTGAGCGGCCTGCACGCCCTTCTTAGCAGCCTCGGCCTGGATGGCCTTCTCGCGGTGCGGGTTCCAGGGCGCGGCGGGGTAGAGGTGGGCGATCTGGACGGGGAGATTTTGATTTAAAAGCCTTTTTTGTTTGGCTACTAATGTAGCCCTAAATCTTATAGTTTAATGGTAAAACGTCGCGCGTCGGCATGGTCGTAGAGTAGCGGTGATCTCTCATCCATCAATCGTCCTCAGCGAGCAACACTCG